GGAAAAGCGAGTGAACTGTCTTGAGAGAATATATGGATCTTTCAAACCAGCAGAGGTAACAAACTCTATTTTTAGGTATGATCACTTCAACAGCACATATCTTGGAAATATCCCCAGACTACAGGGAATGAGCATCAGGTGTTGTGAGGCAGGATAAAGGACAGCTGTTATCTCAGTCTGGAGAATCCTGTTCAGTATAATTAAGCGTCAGTAAAGAGAAAGTGAAGCTCTCTAGATTTAAAAGGGATTCTTGGCTAAGAGATGCTGGATAATCTATAAAAGGAAGTGAAGAGTAAGATTTGATAGAGTAGATTTGGTAACTAGCTTTCAAAGAGACCAAGGCACTATTTAATTGTGAAGGCATAAAATCAGGAAATTTAGGTAGTAAGGTTAAATAGCAAAAAAGTGAGATAAAGTAGGCTTTGCTTGTCAGTAGGGTCTTTAATTTGATAACAATTATAAAAGGGTCTGTGACCATTACATTCCTAGATCTGGGGGGGTAGGGTGCATAAATAATGCTGTGGCCTCCTCTAGACAGTGTGCTCTATAGCAATGATTTGTGAAGCTGACAAGTTTTTTATTGCTATATTGCTATATTGTATAATATAACATCATATTCTATCTCTATCACCACTGTTTTTGTTTTGGGCTTTTTTGTTGGTTAGTTTCGTTTTCATTGGGTTTTTTTTGTAAATAGCTATCTTGTGTTGTATTTAATGCAAGAAAGCCCTGACCCTTAACACTCATGCTTGTTCATACTCCACCATTTCCTTTTTATCTCAAAATACCCCAATCTGAAATTCTAATCTGCTTCTCAATGTTCCACTGCAAAGGGGTGACAACCTGCATTCAGTATTTGACAGCAGGTCTCCATGTAAGATTTCAAAGCTCAGCAAGAGGTTTCTTACACTCTGTGGTGAACAGGATAAATTTTGACATTCAGACAATAAATCTGAACTATCTGTATGTACAGAAACACTAAAATGAGAACATATGTTGGAGACAGGTATGCTGTAATGAGACCATATTTTATTGAATTCCAGATTTCCACTCAGGATGTAGAAACCACAGGCACAATTATTTCCTGCTAGCATAGTGACCACAGATAAAACTCGGGTAAGTAATTCCATCGAGCCTGATGCATTATGCTTTACCCTTTCAGCGCAATTTTATGTAAATATACTTACATGCAGAAAAGCTATAGTTTTAAGCAGTGAGTCAGACATTGTATCTCTAACATATATAGGATTTAGAAGCATTCTTATTGTCATTATCACATCTACTACACTTGCAGGATTAGAACTTCAAAGAAGAGCCTGCCAGAGGAAAATGCAGGAAATGTTTGCATTCCTGTATGATTCCATCATCCAGGGGCCTGTAATGGTGAATGCACCCTTCAGCAGATGTTGTTTGAAAGGTCAGGTTAAATCTTAATACACAATAGACATTCATTTCAGTTCTTCCCTTTTTAGTTATTGATTATAACTCTGATTTGTACAGCAAATCCTGCTGGTGTCTCTTCTATGACAACTCACACCACCTGGAAACTTCTTGCAGCACTTTGTGTCTCTTCCCCTGGTCTTTGTCAGCTTTCCAAACATCACTGAAACCATCCTTTCAACATACCAATGAGGTTAAGGAGATGTTCTTTATATCTGCACCTAAAACACAGAGCAACCAATTCTAACTAGCACTAAGGCTTCCTTAGTTTATTTTGACAGAATATATTTACACTTCTCCCATCAAGGCCTCCTCACACTTTTGAAAAGATCATGAAGATAGACTAAGTCTTCTTAGTTGAATCTCATCTATATGAAGTGACTGACTAAATTACACAATTGTCCTTTGTGTTCTGCCAGGAGTTGAATTCAGGTGTCTTGAGAGTAAGAGACTCTCTTTGTCTGTTACCTATACAAATAAACAGTGTTGATTATTTTTTTAACTCCTTGGAGGTTTTTTCCCCATATAAATTTGGACAGTATCTTCTGTATATTTTCCTGTGCATTAAATTCAAATGATACACCTCAGTGCTATGGTGATAATACTTGAAACAGAATTTCACACATTTGCACTGTATTTACTGTTTCATATTCTATTCAGAAGATACTGCATCGTAATTCACACCTAATGCACTACTAGACCTTCTAGATGAGTGTCAGATTGTGGGGTTTGTTGCCATAGTTTCGTTTTCTCCCCGCTTTTGTGTCTTTTGAAAATGCAAGTTCAAGTTCCAAAATATTATTCTGATAGTAATATTAGTAAACTAATTTTGTTTTACACTTACATTTTGGGGGGCATGACTATGGTGATTTACTAATTCTACAATTAATTCCGCACTAATTGCAAAGAGTAAGTAGGTACTACTTCAAGGCTAAGCAAAGCATTAGATACAACCATCCATAAGCAAGCTTCCCTACTTTCTGTCACATATATATCAAGAGGCTGCCGGTGGGAAAAGACAGGTAAGTACTATTAAGCTGATGTCTCCCTTGTAATCAAGTGACATTTTAGTGAGGTTTGTTAGAAACAAGAGGAAAAAAAATGGTGCAGCATGTGAAGCCCATCTAATTCATATGACAAGTTAATGGGATTTTATACAGCACTGTCATTTCAGTGCCATATGCTACCCTTTTCCTAACGTGATCAAATTTTCAGTTGCAATGCATATAAAACATCCCTGTGGATGCACCACAATTGCAACCACTTATGCAAAGGTGAAATCAATGCCCACAACCGAGCCTGGTGACAGACAGTTATTAGCAGTGACTGCAGTCAAGCAGAGATAGCTGTGCCTAGAGGGAAAGAGGATAAAAGGAGAGGTCTGCTGCCACAGGTGAAGGCACTACCTTACTTTGGCCTGAGACAAAAGGAATGAAAAATAGGAGCCACTGTCTTGAGGCAAAATATCTTCAGCATCTTACCTCTTGCTGGGAGGATGATCCAGCTCCGAGCTTAGCAGGATTTGAAAGTCAGAATCCACTGCATCTCCCAGAGATTAACTGACATGTTTGTCTTCCCTGTGGAGACACTTTCCAGATGATTTTCTTACCCTGAAGTCTGTTCTTGCATAGTAGCTCCTACTAAAATCCTGATGCAGCTTTCTCTTTTACAAAATTTGAATGTGTGGTGCGGTAATACTGAAACCCATGAACAATGAAATGGCATACTTCTACCTGCTCTCTGTACTCCAGTGCCTCAGAAAAGGTCAGATTCCTATTGTTTGCAGCCCTCTCACCTGCTAGTGCAGAATATCTTTGCTCCTGTTTTATTTTGGATTTGTAAGATGCATACAGGGAAGAACAAAAGAGGATCTTTGTAAAAAATTATAACCAAACTCTGACACCCCTCCCCTTCTAAAAAGAGTTTAAAATTCAAACAAATAATTTAGAGTATGTACACATGGCAAGAAAGGACTAGACAACTATGAAAGGAAAAGAGACAGTAGAATTTTTTAGCTGGAGGAAGGAAGTCTTTTATAAAGAGGGACCTGTTGAACCACGTGAAATGCAAGCTTAGGTTTGGTGTATTTTTCTTGTGATTGCCACCTTTCAGTTCTCAGGTTCTTCTCCCTAATGGCATGTTTCAGATGTATGTACCTGACTGTGCAGCTGATGCAGGTACAAATGTATGAGCTTTGATAAAGTCAAGTGAAATATCCCTGTGGAGGAATAGAAACTTGTATTTCCAGAGGGGTGTAAGGTAACATTTTTTTTTAACATCATTAATTTTTATGTGAACTCAGGGATTTTTTAAAAGTCCTGATTTGTGTGTCAACTACATAATGTATGACTGCTGTAAAGAATTCATTTTGTGTTCAACATTCCAGCAGCCAGTCTGAGACTGAAGTGACCTGGTGCTGATCAGACTATAAAAAATTATTTCTTGTATTATGTTTAATGTCATAATGTTTGCATTGTTCTAAATTTCATATCATTAACCAGCCAGAGTTCTGCAATTTGACCACATTGGAAGGAAGCAGTCCCAACTCCTCTTCAGCCTTTAACAGGGTGGGTTGGTTGGTTGGTTGGTTGGTGGGGTTTTTTTGAGGACAACAGGAGGCAAAAAGGGTACAGTAGGGTAAATTTTGATGTGGATCTGTTCCCTGGTATAACTCACCACATGACAGCACACAAGCAATTGCACCCCTTCGCCTTTATTCCTCTTTGTAGACAGGTATTTATGCTTACATGAACATGAAGTGGGATCAAAACTGCTACCAAGCAGAAACACAAGCAGCCCGTGTTCATCACAATAGTGTGTGCATGCACATACACACACTTTTAATTACTAGCACTCTTGCCATTTCTCCCACTCCAAAAAAACTTCCAAGTATTTAAAGAATGTTAACTTTTATAAAGGATGGAATTGTCATGTCCCTTGGCCTGGGGAAGCATGACTTTCCCACTTCGAGGCAACTCCTACTCACGCAGTCCAACCACTACTTAAACGGTGTTACTACAAAAACAAATTCCTACACCTTAATTCCCTTCCCTCTTTGCCTAATGATATTCTGCACAACACCACGTCTCACCCGCCTCTCGACTTCTCCCTCCGCGCTTGTTTGTGCAAACAAACTCTCCGTGTCTCCAATTCCCCTCAGCCGGGGGGCGGCAGCAGCCCCGCTTCCCACAGCCCCTCTCCGAGAGGCCGCGGCGGCCGCGCTGAGGGCGCAGCCCCTCACGGGCACTGAGCGGCGCCGGTCGGGGCCGCCGGGCGCAGGCGCGGGCGGGACCTGGCCGCCGCCATGTCGTGAGCGGAAGCCGGGCCGGGCCGGGGGAGGGCGGCAGTGCGGCCCCGCCCGGCAGCGGGGAGGGCGCGGGGGAGGGACGGGCGCACCGCGGCGGCGGCAGCGGGCAGCAGTCGCCGCAGGAGCCAGCTGGGCTGTCCCGCGCCCTCCGCAGCGCTCGCTGCCTGCCTGGCCGCCCCCGCCGGGTAGCGGGAACGCGGAGCGCGGAGGCTGCGGGAGTCGGACGGGGAAGATGCCCCTGGCGCAGTTGGCAGACCCTTGGCAGAAGATGGCTGTGGAGAGCACGGCCGAGAGCAGCACCGAGGTATGGGGAGGGTGAGGGGGTGCTGCGGGGAAAGTTGTGAGGACGGGACCGGGACTCCCGGTGCCGCCGTCGCTCAGGGAATGGGCAGAGTTTCCCCCTCGCGAGGTTTCGGGGTGGGCAGCGGGCGGGGGCCGGGCGGCAGCGGCCCGGCGGGGGAACGCGGCGAGCGGCGGCCCCTATACGCCGCTTCCTCTCCGGGGCACTGACTCACGGCCGGCACCGGCCGGGACTCCCCCGCCCGCGCCGGGTTTGGGGTGTGTTTGCCGGGACCGGGCTGCTCCCGGCGCACTCCCTCCCCTTCCGCCCCGTTCCCGGGAGGGAGTAACCTACCTCCGCGGTGGCCGCCGGCTCGGGCGCTTTTGTTCCAGCGCGGTGTCTGGTTACTGTCACGGCGAGTTTGCTAGGGCGGCCCCGCCGCCTCCGCCGGCGCGGCTCGAGGTGGGCAGGAGGGCCAGGCCTGCCCTCGCCTTGCCCGGTGCCCTCGCCTTGCCCGGTGCCCTCGCCTTGCGGCCGCTCCTCGTGTGGGTCCCCGCCCGGTGCCGCTGCCCCCTTATCTCGGCAGGATGGGGTTGCCGGTAGTTTCGCAAGAATTTGGGAAACCGCAGGGACGTGAAGGGTGGTGAAGCATGGGTGAAGCTTTGTGCTCGGCAGCGTTGCCGGGAACAAGCCCGGGGTGCCGCTCAGTGTGGGTTTCCCGCTGTGGTAGCGGGGAGTGCGTGTTGTGCCTGTCCTTGTTAGGCAGGACGCGTGTCAGCTTTCCTAGGCTGGAATAATGAGAGCGGCTGGAAATTAGAGTCACTTGACACCGAGGCCATAGAAGCTTTCAGCTATTTTAATATTTTTCCTACTACTGTTCGTTTGGATCTATGTAAACACTGCACCTACACAGTCAGTTGTGCTTGCTCCGTGAGTCCCTAGCAGCCCACAGTGCGTGTGCTACTTTGTGACCAGATTCCATCTGAAAAGAAAAAGCTGCTTTCTGCTTTTGACAGTGCAGCTTCGACCTGAATCGGCTCCAGCTGATACGCAGCCAGGCTGCTTCAAGTGATGCTGATGTGGAACGGTGTGGACCCAGGCCAGCTCACAACAATTAGTCACAAGGTTAGGACTCTCTCCTTATGAGACGAGCATAGAGGGACCAATGCAGAGTTTCTGCAGTATTAGGATTTGTCCTTTTGGTCTTTGTCTTGTCATCCTTCTTCTGAAAGTCGCTGTATCTCAGGGAGTCAGAAGAACCTACAGTTCAGATCTGACAGGCACATACAGCTTTCTAATTCTTGCCAGGTACTGTAGTTACTTTTAAATTCGTGCTAGTTATTCACTGACTTCTGGAGTAGTGATCTTAGATGATATTAAATTGGGAGTAACTACAATAGTAGTGTGATGCTTGAGGGTGGGGCAGAGGGTGGTAGGGGAGAACAGATTAATCATTTAGAGAAAAAAACTGTTGCTTTAGTCTTTGATGCTTACTGCATGCAGTCTAACTTCAATAATAGTATATGTGCTAGATATGTAGAAAAATACATTGTTATTTGCAATGTGTGTACATGCATGATTATACTTTACTTGTTTTAGCATATTTCAGACATAATTTGTTTTTAAATTGCTGTCCTAAACTTTTTGAACCAAGTATATTTTATCACTTCCTTAAAAATAACTAAACTTTTATATTGACATGAGTCTAGGATGTAGAGTAGTTTATCACCAAAAAATGTCTAGGACCAATAATAAAACATGAAACAGCATGAACTGACAGGTTTGCACTCCAAGACCCTAGCCTAAAATAAACAGTTTTTGAAAAGACCAGCTGCACCTGCAAAAGGTTCTCAGATGAAACTCAAAAGGAAAAAGTTACTTAGGTTGCTTACGTGAAATGACTATTTAAGAAGATATTTTAGTAAAAATAGATAAGTTTAATTCAAATACATAGACAAGTGACCTAAATACATAGCTTGGATTTTTGATTTGCATGAGTTGTGTTTATCTGTAGCATAGCAATATCCTAATTACAGACCCTATTCTGCAAGAGTGTCCTTGGGCAAAAATGTTCTTACATTTGCCTGAAACTCATTGTGATTTCAGTCATAGTTTGATACTAATAATGTCTTTAGCTGTAACTCTGACTAAATTCATTTCTGCTAACCTCTCAGATTTGCTGACACAGTTCTTGTAATGTTGTATTATCCGCATATGGAATTATAAATTTTTGAGCTCTGAAATTCAGCTCAGACACTTTCCTTGTCTTAACGATTCATGGAATTTTAATTTACTTGATTTTTCATTTGTTTCCCAGTGCAGTCCTGTAGTTACAGTGGTACCACCAAGGAGGTGATATTCTGTGATGGATGAGGAAATTTAGGAGGAGGACTAGAATACCTTTAAATAGCTTTAGTTTGGAAGTGTACTTAACCACACACAGCTGCTGTAACTTAGGTGTGCAGAACAGTAGAATATAGTCTTTCTTTTTTAAAAAATAAAGCAGACTCTTTTTTAGGTAAAATGTGGCTTTATGATTTCAAAAATAATTTTCAGGACTTCTGTTTCTGCAGATGCAAATAGGTCAGTGATCCACATTGCATCTCTGACAGCTTTTTTAATGTGTAAGTTGTTACACTATTTTTAAAATATTTTGTCTGTATGTGTAGTTTCAGTTTCATGGTGTAAATCACAGCATCTTTAAAGCTTGTGGAATTATGCTGTCTATTACTGACTCAGGGTCTACTCAGGATTCATAACAGCCATAGGTTTGTTTTTCATGGTGAGAATATGCCTGTTATTGCAAGTCATCTGCTTTCGAGCAAATTAAGTATTGATGACTTGAGTTTGCATTTGAATGCCTGAATAACTAGCCTGATACTTTGATCTGTGCTCCCAGCCATGCATATTAATATCAACTGGAGGAGAATGAAAACAGTTATGGCAGCCAAATTTTGGACACCAGTATGTTGAAAGAACTGGCCATCATAAGGAGATGCCATTTGCTAGACTTTCTGGGAAGCATTTGTGACAGCTGTCATGCAGAGTTTTAATTTAGATGCTCCAGACTGGCTGTGGAAAAAGTTCATTTTTTTTTTCCACTGCTCGTGACGGGGTTTAGGGTCGCTTGTTCAGGTTTTTAAATAGGTGGTATGAGTCTTCCTTCACAAATTTGTTTTACATTCTGTATCCAGGATTATTTGAACTTTGCATGAGACAAGGGATGCTAGCATTTAACGGTCATGCTGATATTTTAAAGAAACTAGTATGCTGATGTTTTAAAGAAACTAGTATAATGCAAATTTTGATTTGTAGTTTCATTTGGATTGTCAGTGTGGCATTCTCTATGTCAACATATATTTCTGGCCTGGAAGCTGAAATTTGTCAGATGTCTTGCCACCTGTAGCCTTGAGCCTGTGGCTGTGATTGTCTCTTCACATTCTGTACCATGTAATCGGTGTTGTACTTGTTTTCCACATGAACAAAGGCTATATTTACAGTTATTTCTGGTATAGCCAACACAGGTAAATAGTTAAAGCCAAAGTGAAATCACCTAAATGGACTGGTCTGTAGGGGTTTTGAAGACTCCCCATTGTCTCTCCGTTATAGACAAAATTATGTGCAACACTTGGCTGTTGCTTCTCATACAGAACTGCTGTCAGCATGGTGCATTCTCAAGTCTGAATTTTTCACGGATTTGTGGGGTGATGTTTTCTTGTACTGAGTTAAAAATGGGAATTGTAAATTTAATTCTCATTTAAATAAGTAATATACACTATATTCCACAAACTGTTGTGAGAGACAGATAACAGATCTTATATGTATGTAAATACTGTCTTGAGAAACACATAATCTGCATGAGAAGTGTTGGAGGGGTGTGTTCAGATTTTTCATCTCCTTATTGGTACCATTTTATCTGCTTTGTTTTTCAGTTAACACAATCCTAGTCTGTGACATAGTAGTGTTGTCCTGTGGTCAGCTGAGTTGGGCAGGAAAAGGCAGGAGCTTTACTTTGTTGAATTCAGTGCCTTCATGCACTACTGTGTGCTCTCTGCAGCTCCTGGTTTCCTTGTTCTTATGACATTGGCAGTTCTTATCCTGTTATTGTTTTGTTTGTTGTAGTGTAGGCAATATTTCTTGCCCCAGCTGGGACGTGTAACACAAAGTAGATGTGAGCAGATTGACACATTTAAAGGCGTGTCTGTTTTCTTGGAATTGGTTGTGGTCTGTCACACTGACTGTAGTTGTTTGTCATTTGAAATTCTAGACTTAAAGTCACATTGATACAAAGGCTGAGGTGGGCGTTTAATTATTTCTGCACATCAAAAATATTAGCTTTGTGTGTTGACTGATCTTGGCAGTTACCAGATCTACCAGCTTTAAGAACCTACTTAAGATACTGGTTTGGAATTGTGGTTTTTTACTGTAGCACTTGATTGGGTGTTTTGAGGTGTTTTGTTTTGGATTTGAGGCTTTTTTTTGTTTGGGTTCTTTTTTCCACCAGATACAATTCATAGCCATATTCCACCAGTGAAACTTTTAAGCACTTTTTCAGGCCAGAGTAGATTCATATAATTGGGGTTTTTTTTCAATTTTGGTGATGTTCAAGAGGAGAACAATTTAATCAGTAAAACTGGGAAAAGTTAGAGTCCCTTCAGGGAATGTTTAAGTTTAGGCAAAGTGGTTGATACCACAGTTGCTGTGCTATATGCTTGCATACGTGATACCGTGCTACTTATTCTCTCCTTATTCCCTGAAATAAGATTAAATGCCTCGCCCACTGGAAATAGAGGGGAGAAAAAATCCTATGTAGCAGATGGGAGAATGAGGCTCAACAGCTTAAGGACCCCATCTAGCATCATTCATTGAGTTCGTTCTAGAACTACATGAACTAGCATCATTCATTGAGTCTGTTCTAGAACTACATTAACTCTGATTTTTTTGGGACCTACTCCGGTGCCTTGACCACAAAGTTACTGCTAGTTCACTCCTATCAGTAAGAGTTACCATATGTTGCCTTTGGT